ATAATAGTATTTTTTGTATGCNTCGACGGTGAAACTACCAAACCACGTATCTCGTTTGCGGTGTTTAAAAATCTACGCTCACATTTTATTTTTTTGAAGTAGACCAAATCAATATCATTCCTTGAAATTTTCACGGAATTTTCTGCGCACAAAGAGGAAAAATCACAGAAATTTTCAAGACTGGATGTTAAGTAGTTTTTCATTTAAAAAATAAAGTATGACAGGAAGTCTGCGACGTCGAAAACCGAGATACGTGGTTTGGTAGTTTCACCGTCGATATATTGTTCCCCACTATACGCTCAGAAAAATTCTAGAATTTTTTAGTACAAGTATTACTATTATGTAGTATGCTAGTATATTCACTTAACAAATTTGATCAGCCCAACATAATAAAAAAAAAAACACAAAAAGAAACCGGGGTGCAAGGTGAAAAGAAAAAAGATACTATTCTGAACGACACGGCAATGAAAAAGGAAATCCCGATGAAACATCTCGAATAGTATATATTTTCTTTTTATCTTGTTCTCCGGTTTTTTTATGTGTTTTCTTTGTATACTACTGTAAAACGTACTAGTATTATGTATACTAGTATTTTAGTATATTTCACAGCGATACCTCATTGGCGGCATAGATCATAGAGCGGAGCACTGCGAATTCACGCCGAGCGGCCGAGCGCCATCGCGCCTTCAATTTTGCAGATGCCACACGGACATCCATCAAGCACGAATAGTTGTATCTCTGCGCCATCATCAACACACGTCCGTTCCCTCGCTCTATTTCCATATTGTGTAGGTTCCGTATGTTTCCTTGTAATTGGACCACGTTAAGTAGAAAAGAACCAAGCCACATCAGATATTGCCAAATTTAATAGGGCAATTTCACTTTTTATAGGAGAACGTTTATGCAGATTCCTTCGGATATGTTATTATAATTTGCTTCGCACCATGCAGAAAATTCACTGAAATCGCGGAAATAAGCACAGCCGTTTTCATGTAAAAGATTAAATTACCCAATTAAATTTGGCGGTAGCTGATGTGGCTTGGTGCCTTTCTGCTTGACGCGGTCCAATTTAGAGTGGTGCTTCAAGGGCTACGTGAACGAAAGCTACATGTTTTTTTGCATATCATTGAGCAAGTGACCACGCGATCTTAAATATCCTTATGCGCGTACTCTATTTGTAATGAGAGGAGATTACTTAATCAAAGCGTGTACAGTTTCCAATACAGATTTTGTCAAAACACTGCTCGCGCTATATTCCTGAAAAAGAAATTGAGAGGATGCCGCCTGGGAGGGTTTTAATCCTCATTTGAGTCTTCTCAAGCTTATAGGCAAACATGCCAAAATTAAAAAATCGACAGACTTATTTCTTTCTTATCTTTGCCTCCGAACAACTTTTCAGCATGTCAATTATTATGAGTAATGAAAAATGGTTACGCTTGATTCGATCGCGAGGGCTAATAAGTGCCGAGAGGATAAAAGCTGAGACAAGAGAAACCAATCAGTCAAACGGCTCAAAGCCCTTTGCTACGGTTACGCAGAGGAAAGCTCCTTTGCAGTTGAGGGGGACATCTCAGCTGAGTGGTGAGAGCTTGTTGGGGACCGGGTTTTTCAGGAAATGGGGTTAAGATCCGATCATCATTCGAGCTGCTTACGTCATTGAGTGGTCCGTGAGTATCATGTTTCTTTCTTATTAATTCCGGAACTGTAACGCGGATAGTAACACTGAGGTCAATCTTTGAGGTTTTTTGGTCCAAATTATATGCCCTTATACGTATAGAATCAGCAAAATATTATTTTGACCTGAGGAACTACCTGAGCAAACAAATAAACTAAAAGTATAGCATAAAAAATAAATAAATCTACTATTTATGCCAATTATCGAAGAACAGCACACCAAAAAATACCCAGTAAGTCGACAAATATCTCCGCTTCCATTTTATTATTTTGAAGAAAAAGAAATCATTACCTATTCTTGAAATTTTCACAGAGTTTTCTTCGCACTGAGAAGAAAAAACACGGAAGTTTTCAAAAATTGACGTTGAGAGGTTTGCTATTTAAAAATAAAGTATAACAGGAAGTCTACAACGTCGCAAACCGAGATACGTGGTCCGGTTAGTTTCACCGACGAAATACATGTATCTAAGGTAGTGAACAAGACTATGACAAAGATCAAAATGCCTGACGTTTCGAAGTTTTTCCTCTTAGCTGAACTAGCCGCGCACTCTTTTTCCAGTAAAAAATTCATCCTCAAGAGAAAATATTGAGAACTTGAAAATACTTAGGTGTTGAATTTTAACGTTAACAGTCTCATGGAGGAGTAAAATCCCATGCCTCTTTTACTTACTGGGTTCGATCTCGCGAATCGACGTGATTTGGTTCTCTCCTGTTAAACTTGGTCCGAGTGTCGATAATAGTATTTTTTGTATGCAATGTGAAATCGATCCTCTCTCCAATATTAAGCATCATCGCACCACCTCTCCACGGCGCCAAGATTCTTGAAATATTGCCGAAGGATGGTCTGTGTGCAGCTTTCAGTGAATGTTCTCTATGTCAAGATGACAAATTCACAGGGATTTTCATAAAATATCGTTGACGGCGTGTGCCCCCACATTGAAGTGAGTGAAATATTTCAAACTCTCAACGCAAGACTTGCCTACCTCGGGAGCCTCCCATGACGCGAGATTACTTCGAGGATGCTCCGCAGGCAAAGTAGGACTCAAGCGAGGCATGACTCAATTTTCAATCATAGAACGGCGGAGCGACAGTGCATTTTCCTCCGCTCCGCAATGCGGCTGAAAAATATTGAATCCAACCCCTTAAAGTCTAAACAGTTTCAGGTTTTGGTTCGAATGTAAGCCTCTGCGAATCGAACTGTCTTGGTAAAATTTTACTCGATTAGAGTCTATTGTTGTGTTTGATTACGTGCAGTGTTTCCAAACCACATTCCGAAATTCGCTCTCTTTAAACACAGAAAGTCCAGAAATTTAGCAAACTTCTTTTTCAGAGGTATCTCCTGACTAAGGAGTAAAAAGAGTGCAATCGAAACGATAGGGATTTAAAGATTTTGCACATTTGTATTTTACCATATTCAACTATGGAAAGCGAGGTAGGCAAGAAAACATATTCTGTAACAATATGCGCAGCTTGGGTGCACGAATAGTAGAACGGGGAAAGAAAAAGGAGAGACAAAAGTCACATCAGTCTGGATGCATCAATCATCAGTTGGACTGCATTTTGCAATTTGGAACTATAAATTCTAGTCCGGTTTAAAAAAAACGTATGTGCCATTAGTTTCCCTATGCACATAAGTTTTCTTTCAGATAAGCCAGAATTTATAGTTCCAAATTGCAAAATGCAGTCCAGTTGGCCAATTTGTTGGCATGTAAATATCTGTTGAATGGTGCAATATTTGGATGTGACATTTGTCTCTTCTTTTCTTTCCCCAGTGCTAGCTTAAGTAGTTTATGTAAAAAACGCACTTTCCCGACATTTTGGACCGCGGAAACAATTGAGCGCAGGGGAGAATTTCATGAGCCGCCGCCGCGCACTACGCGCACTACGGTCCAGAACTCAAGAACGGGAAGAAATAAGTCGAATAATGACTTGAAGATCACGACAGTTTCGTATCTGATGTTTCTGTGAAACGTTAATTTCGAATGCGACGTCAAATTGCCTACATTTTAACACTCTGGCCTATTAATGGACCACTAGACAAGGTACGAATTTCAGCACTCTGATATATGATTCGTAACCAAAATTTCACGTAGAGCACGATGCGCACAATGAAAATTATCGAAATCAACTCCTCACAACGATATTTAATGATTCTTGATGCGTGAATTCAAACCACCCGCTCATGAAAACTCAATGCTCTACGTGATTCACATCGCGCGCTAAAAGTTATCATGACGGTCTCTGCGCGATGTAAAAATCTGGCAACCTCAATCTTGACGCTTTGGCTCAGCTATAGCAAATTGCCTATAGTTCGAACAACACATGGTGGGAAATGAATATTACTCGATTAAGAAACTTGCTGAAACCGTTGTCGTGCGCGATTTGACTCACGTAGAGCTTTGAGTTTCTTGTGAGCGGGCAGTTCAAATTCCTCGTAACCAATGTGAAATGAAAAGGTTAATATCTTTGTTAGGAGTTGGTTTCAGTAATTTTCGTTGCGCGAATCGTGTTCTACGTGAAATTTTGGTTGAGAAACATGTACCGAAATGCTTAAATTCGTACCTTGTCTAGTGATCCATTGTGGGCAAGTTTAAGGCACGCTTCGGCGCGGCGGCGTGCTGCCGCGCCGCTGCCAGCTCGGAACGCGCACCGACGCCTACAAACCTAAGGGGATACATCAAGCATTGCGCGATGCGTGAAGTATCCCCTTAGGTTTGTAGGCGACAGTGCGCGTTTCGCGCAATGCTTGAAGTATTCCCTTAGGTTTGTGGGCGTCGGTGCGCGTTCCGAGCTGGCAGCACGCCGCGCCGCGGTGTCCCTGTCGGACGGGGGGTGAACGATTTTTTGCGGGGAGAGTTTCCTGGCGGTAACACTCGTAAATCGTGGAAATTTCTTTTTTTCTTTAATCTTTTTTTTTAATTTTTGACTTTTAAAATTACACACTGGTCGTGCGCAGTAATAAGTGAACTCTCACCGCTAGATGAGGTGAAATAATGAAAGGCAGGTCGCAGGTCTCATGAAATTCTTCCCTGTGCTCCGTCGCGCCGTCGCGTCGCGCGCCGAAATGACAGGAGCGATCATTTGAATTTCCCGCTCGGATATTTGAATCCGGATGCGTGTTTTGTTTTTGTTGTTTGTTTTGCTTGGCAGAGGTTAGGTTTTCCCTGAACTGGAAAATCACGATTTTGATTTGATCACAATAAACTTACAGGAAAATTCAGACAAATCTTGAATAAGTGTAGATCAGTGTCTATTTAACGCTCTTCATACAGTTCTGTTATATTTAAAACTTTTAGTCAATAATATTAACTTCAAATTATTATAATTCATGCCGTGTTAATTTCGAAGGTAATTGCTGACAGCTAGTTGCTCTTGTTAATACTCAGTAATTTTTAACTGTACCAATTTAGAAGTTAATAAATAGTACTTATTTAGCAGTCTAGCTATCTTCTCTAGATTGCAACGTACGGTGATTGTTTTTTTGCTGTTATTTGTGGCTCCGCGGTTGCAATATTTGCCAATTCGGAGCGCTCTGCTTTTCTCTCTTACTAGTACGTATTTTTCACTTGCATGAGTTGAAATTCTCTGTCAAATACGTTTATGCATTTTAAGAGAGTACTCAATAGGTCTCTATCCTTATTTTACCATTGAACCTACATCTTAAAGCCTACGGTCGAACTGATGTAGAAGAATCTAAGTAGATGGCAGATCTTCTGTCTCTGAAAGTGCAGGAAATGTCTTAATATGCACCCAAACTTCCTTTCCCATACCAAACATAAAATCTATTTGAGCTTCAAAATTTGCATAATATCTATCTCCCACCTTTCAGTCTAAAGTGCGGATCGTTCAGCTCACCAAAGAAGGAATTTATCTCTTACCAGCTTTTGCCAAAGCTAGGAGATTATTGTTTGCTATGCTGCGAGCCCATAATGTTGAGGGTTATGCTTACTTATTGAGACCAGGAAAAATTTTGGCTCAGCGAAATGTTATTGTAGCTTACAGTTCTTCGTAGATTTTAATTTTGAAGCGCGTGTCTGTAATGAAATTGTGCTTTTTTTGTAGGCAGCAAAAAAACTCTTCTCGCAAAAATGGCGGACTATTTTCAAGAAATGGGTTGGGAAGAACTACGTGAGGGAGAATCACCAAATCATTTGCTTCATCTCGCTAGACTCCTAAGGGACTATGGGATGTTTCAAGAACTCGGCGAGGATCAAAGGCTCCCACCACCGGCTGCTAAATCTGTTGTAGATGGCTTGGAAGAGATTACTGTCAGTTCTGAAGGTAAGCTGAGTGGAGTAGTGAAGAAAACTGCACATTTTACACTAAAGCTAAATTATAAGCAAAGTCAACCCAATGCTGCTGCGGAGATATACTCAAGGGCAGGATTCAGGAGGGGCTGGAGCTCCTCAGACACAGCTGAATGCTCCAGGGGTGCAAAATCTGCCTGATCATGCGATCTGCGGATCGTGTCATTGCTGAGGAAATTTTTAGGAAAATTAAGAAATTTTTTCCTGAAAAAATTTTCAGAAAAAATTCCAATGATTTATGAATTGACATTTTCAATTTTTCAGAGGACGTTTGCCTTTCAAACAAATGTTCAAAATAGAAAAGAAAATAATAAGTCATCACTATGAAAAAATTGGGAAAGAGAGGAAATTTTTCGGAAATAAGCGAGAAACAGATTCTAGATTGCTAGGTAGAAACGTTCAGCCAAATGACACTTTTTAGTCAGTGAAACTCTCATATTATTAACTAAACTTAAAGACACTTCAGGGTATCTCCACGCAAAAATAAAATAAAAAAACTGTCTACCATTTTATTCCTCTGAATGTACGTAAAATGAATATCATTTATTCTTAATGAAGAGTGTACCTGCATGCAAGGGGATTAAGAGAAAATTTTTTGCCATTACCCCATCTTAATAGCCCTTGCAATGTCTCTCAAGCATCACCCTCAATAAACTTTAACATGTAGTTTAAATTTTTCTCTGTTACGGCCTTAACTTTTTTTGTTTCTCTTATTTCCAGAATCTCAGTGTTCAGTCTGCCTCAAGAATTTTTCTGTAAATGAAATTGCCAAGAAGTTACCTTGCAAACACTTTTTTCATCCATCTTGCATTCTACCGTGGCTTTCAAAGGTAAGTTCTTCATAAGACATACACATATCGACGGTGTTTGTCGGCAATCACTTAGCTTGGTTTGCAGCGTCGTAGACTTCCTGTCATACTTTATTTTTTAAAAGGAAAACTACTCAACGGCATTTCCTTAAAACTGCTGTGACTTTTCTTCCCTGTGCAAAGAAAATTTTGCATAAACTTCAAGGAATGATGTCAATTTGTTCTCCTTAAAAAAATAACATAGAGGCGGAGATTTTCAGACACTGCAAACGAGATATGTGATTGCGAACTTACGCTGTCGATATGTTATATTTTGTTTTTTTATGAGCGTTAATGCAAAGCATCCAGTTTCAACTTAAAGTTTACTCTGTGTCGAGTGGTGCCACGGCAGATTGACTTCTTAAGAATTTGATGTTCGGCATTCTTTGTGTATATGCATAATCTGGTCAAAATTTACAATTTCAATTTCATGAAAGTTATCCTTGTTGGCCAAAAGTTTGGTGGAAAGAGTTCCTCCCAATTTTTTAGGCCCTGTCAGCTTCTTAGTAAAAAAAATTAAATATTTCTGATGAATAAAATAAAGATACTTCGAATTATAAAGTTTGATTAAATATTTCTAAAATTGTTCTCCACTCCATCAAACAATGTAAGAAATACATTTTCATTTTTTTATTTCTAGACCAATTCATGCCCTGTGTGTCGACATGAACTACAGACGGATGATGAGAGCTATGAGTTATATCGGAAAGAAAAAATCAGAGCTGTGCAAAGAGAAAAAGATATAGAATCTCTTCATGATTCAATGTTTTCATGATATTGGTGCACTTCCATGGTAAGCTAAAACAAAGTTTTTTTTTTTTTTTCCATTCATCATCTATTGTTTTTCATATCATCAGCACAACTGGAAATTTTGCACTTATCTCGATTAGCGAAGTGGAGGATTACTGTTATACTTCATTTTATAGTTGGAGACCCAAGCAGTATATATCTACAATTTTTCTGTGTTGTTCGGAAAAAATTCTGTGAAAATATGAAGCCAGGAAGAAAGTTTTACTGTGGAGAAATGAGATAAAGAACTCCACTTAAGATAAGTGCATGGTCTACCAGTTTAACCATACATATTTATGTGCCTCCTGATGTATCATATTTACAGGTTGCATTGAAATTTGAGATGATCAAGATTATAATTCAAGGTTGCCAAGTTGTATGATAAAAATTGGATATTTTACACATGTTTAAATGGAGAAAAGTGCTGGTTTTTCAGCTTTATCTGGCAACAATGTTACGATGCTTCTGATACATATTATCTGCCAACTTGTTTTACTTTTTGTTTAACTTTCGCTGAGCTGTGCATTGTTAAGTTGCCTCATGATAGAACAGTTCTGAGTGAACGCTTCGAATCAATTGCTTGGAGTTCAGTTCGTTCATTGTGTTTGGCTCAGTGTTCCAACTTCACCTCCAAGTTTTAGGAGCCGTTTGGCCCATCAAGTTCAATTTTTAGGGGCCATTGAAGATTTTTTAGGGGCCAAATTGAATTTTTGCCTATATATCACGGCGCATTTAGTGAAAAGTTATACGCAAGATATACAGTTACAGGACTTGCAAGTTGCAGCTCGCAGCCATTACTTGGGAAAGGGAAAGACCAAAGGAATGATATTCCGATTTAAAACAGGAGCTTTTAGTTTACTTAAAGTTTGTTAAATTAAATTATACTTTTTCTGACTTCCTATTATGAAAAGTAGTAGAACGATTCTACAGTATGTACGATAAGTAGTACGATTCTCGATCTGCTGAGCCGCTGCCGCGGCGAAGTTCCGCGCGCAACTGCTTGCTATGCGCGTTCAGTCCAGGCTGACTGACAAAAATCTTGAAATCATCAAACCGTAATTTAGGATTGCGAAAATTTTTTAGGGGCCACGTTTGGCGCAGGGTCTTCATTTTTTAGGGGCCATGGCCGATTTTTTAGGAGCATTTGGCAACATGGCGCTCGTGGGGTTGGAACACTGGTTTGGCTTGACATCAGCAAAAACATGTTTGACTGGTCAATCTATCATGCTAAATTCTTGAGCCATGAATTCTTCAGCTAAGGTACAAATGGAGCATAAAAGTAACCAAAAAACATCAGTGATGGTCATCAAATATGCCTTAAAATAGGTAAACTTAAGTCAGGCCAGTTACAAGATTATATTTAGAATCTTTTAGTGTGAGGCTAATTTTTCTGAATTCGCAATTTTGCTATTTTCCAAACGTTTCCTCCGGTTTTGCTGCTCCTTTTAACACATGATCTCACACACTTGATTTTTACTCTTGATCTTTATAAACTGCGAACAAGATGGGAAAACTACTGGCACCAGGTGGCAAGTATACTAGCTATTTAGCAAAAACTGAACTTTTCTGATGGAAGGCCGTAAGTCTTTGAAACTTGTTTGTGCTTGAAATAGCATTTTTTTTGTTCCAAATTCGTCTTTTTACACGATAATGCAAAATACAATTCCTGTGTTATTCTGTTTCAGATCGTTATGTTACCCATTCCACAGTTTTTTAGCTCATCCCTGTCGAAGTATCTATCCAGTTCTCTTCTCAGTATTTTTTTCCACTTGCTTGCATGGATGTAAAGCTTTTGGTGAACCATTTTTTTTTATATTCGTAAATGTATGTCTTTAATATTAAGTTATTGTGCTGGTATAATTCCTAAGATGAAATTTGGGAAGAATCTTCAAAGAGAAAATTAGATACTCTTTTACGATTGGTGGAGGCTTTAGTATTTATAACAAATTTTTCTTGAAGTATATCATCGGGCATGTAGGAATATTCAAAAATACAGGGACCTTATCTCCAAAGCACCTTCTCGAAAATTATCGTTTCTCAATTTCTGAAAGTTCTAAAACAGTCCACAATATCTACTGCCTAGTGATCAGTCTCATGATGGAAAAATGAACAGTATTACAGTGCAAATAGTGAGAGAAAGCAAGAGGGTAGAAACACGGCTTTGGAAGAGCAGCAGAATCCTAATGTATTTCCTAATGTATGTATGCAGGAAAATTGATCAAATTAGCAACGAGACAAACAATAATTATATTGTTTTAATGTAATTTTTATTCAAGAAAAAATATTTACATTGTGAAAATTAAATATTAATAGGAACTTTTTCAATGGTGATCATGAATATTGAATGTATTTTTTACATGTTGTCTCTTGTACGAGCCACTCTTAACTTCAAGAAAAAATTTTCAATGAGGCAGATATTTATAGGCAGGGTCATTTTAAGTTCCCCACAGTGTTTGACATTGAATATGTTTGGTGACCTTATTATGAATTACAAACATAATTTGAATGAATGTGCACATACATGTGTTCCTTTTTAATAAATTCATAAGGAAATACATTCCATTGATCTAGTTGCAAATTACCTGTGCTCTTTTAACGCTATGCAACTTTTATGAAAGTCAAGTACTTATGTACTACCTATAACATTAACAAATTGATACTGGACCACTGGAATTATTGACCGGGGTAAAAAATAATGCATCACAGAACACATTTTTTCCACAAAATTTCACATAAAACGAAATTGGACTATCAAAAATGTCAATCCTCAAGTCATGAATGAGTAATTGATGTCCAACTTCCAGCTTGGAAAAAACTTGAGTCTATTTGAGTCAAATCGGACGCCAAATTCTGTGTGTGCTCTATTTTGAAATAATTCACTTGACTGATTTTTTTTTGTTAAGTTTGAATAAAGTAAAGAAAAATAAAGATTTCTGGGAACAAACAACTGAAGTTTTTAAATTTATTTTTTCACTCCAGTCCAGTAGAGACAAAATCCATTAAAATTAGCAGACAATGAAACGTGCATAGAAATTTCGGAAAGCAGAGCTCTTTTAATGTACCTTTTTGCTCCAAAATACAACCACTAAACTTTTCTTTCATCCGGGGGATTTTTTCAAGTGATGACTCATTAAGTTATCTTTTGTTATCATTTTATACCATTTTCTTTTGTGTAATTTTTGTTTTACTGATCTTTTGGTCTTGTTCTTACAAATTACTTTCTGTTATTCATATTTAATTACAAAACATTTTTAAAATTTATTTCTGTGTTGACTCAATATCATGTTTGGAAATATTAAAAAAAAAAAAATTATACACTCTCATTAAATGTCCATTTCTTTGAAGTGTCCCAACACCGGAATCTTAAAAATATTTTAAGCCATCACAGACATAGGAAACCAAACTTCAATAGGTCCCGGTGTTTTAAAAAAAAGGGTCCATGGAGAGGCTACTATCGATATTTTTCTCTTTGAAATGATATTAAGGAATCAATTATTGAGGTGCTCATTGCCAACACCTGTTGCTATGACTTTGTAGCAAATCATACAATTAATATATCAATACTTTTAGTGGGTCATCTTGTCTACTACAAATGTAATTGATTAAAAAAAAGTTGTCTCGTTTCATAGGCGTTGTTATTTCTTTAAATAAAAAAACACACCCTTTTTCATAGGTTTAAATGGTAGATCAAAATTGATGCAAAGCTAGTTGAGCCACTGAAAGGGGCAGTTCAATAATTATGTCTCCAATACTGCTTGTGCTCAATATGAACTTTAAAAAGTCTCCGCTGTAGAAACGAATGTAAGGACTGAAAAATGTACCTAATTATTTGTCAAACAGAATAACTCACAAATAATACAGTACATGTTCTATTGTGTAATGTAGTCCACATCTCGACGGATAATGTTTTTTACGTCATGTGGGTTAAATTTAATACTTGCACAAAGAGTTGATGAGGATGCTTCAAAAAGTAATTGTTTTTTTTTAATAACTTTTGAATGAATAGATTATAATTTTACTAATATTTTTCGAAAGAATTTGCAGAAACTTTGCAGGTTTGTTTTTTCTGTTCAAGTTTTTGCTTGTACAAAGATTACTCTGAGAAACCTAATGTATTTGTTCTGGTATATTTTTAGGTCTTCTGTCAAACAGCTCCAAAATCAGAGCTTTATATTTAGTCCGTTCAAAAGTTACTCTTTGAAGCACCCTGATATGAAATGTCACTGTAAAACACACTCACTGAAAAGCAGGCTCCTGAAAACAAGGTTTCTGGTTTTAATATTCATATTAATGAGGCTTTTAATACAATTTCGAATTCTATTGCTTTGGCAGAAAATTAAATCTTTGATTTAACTTCCTAACATCAGCTGAGACAGCTTTAATGATTCGAATATGTGGTCGCTTGACGGACTGAGCATTTTTATTTACTGAACACCTATTTGACACCTTAGGGGCATTTCCTAAATTAGCAGAATGACTATCACACGAAGATGAATTATCCGAGGTACACTGAACTGAGAGCAGTTCCTCAGGAGAAACTTCAGCAAAATCTGTAAAAGTCTGTCTTTTCCCTCTCTTGTACTTCCTAAGAATTTGACTAATTTCATCCTCAGCTTTCCAAGCATCCTCTTGGTCTAATTTTTTCAACGTAATTGCAACTATCTTACCAAAGTAATCATACTCATCAAATTCATTTGATGCATCCTCTGAAGACTTTTCCGCCGGTGTTGTGTCAGGCTGGACTGATTGAACCCTTATTTTCCGAGGAGGTTCATAGTTTTCAATGAATGGGTTTTCTAGAAATTCGCAATCATCGTAACTGTTTTCCATTGTAACACACTGCTCGGATTTTTTCTTCAGCGATAACTAAAAAATAAGTCCAGAGGATAAAATTTCAGGAAAATATATTCTTGATGCAATGATAACAGGTGGATAGAAATGCTCAGAAAGTGCAATGAGTCAGAGGCACCAAATTTTTAAATTCATTTTCTGAAAGTATGGAGTGAACTAAGCCACTGGGAATTTTTTCAGTTTTTTAGCACTGATTGGCAAATGAATTCCACTTTGAACATGCTAAAAATAGGACCGGTTTAAAGAATATTTTTGGTGGGATCTGGTGTCAAGCAGGGGAAACAGCTAATTGACTGAACTCAGCTTCTACCATCGCTTTGCTCTGACAACTTGAGAGAGAGCAACTATGAACAGAGACATTCATAATTTTTGTTTTAAATAAAGCCCATATAATCTTATCCTATTAATGGCTGAAAATAAAAATATAGTCCTGACTGAAGCTGTTCCATGGTCAGAACGAAAATAAATAATTTAATTTTTAATTAAAGGCTTTGAAAGTTGAGAGTACCTAGAAATATTGAAAATGGCCAAAGTAAGTACAGGATCAAAATGTGGAAACTATCCTCTCTCTATCAACTTCATCCTGATTAAACAATGCAATCTTTTTGTAAAAACTACTTGGAATAAGAGAACTCACCCTTGAAAGACACTGCTTCCGTGTGATGGAATCTCTCCAAAATGAATCTGCTCTGTGAAACCAAATCAACTTGGGAGTGTAATCTCTGCCCTCTGCAATGATAAAAATTACAAATAAAGACCACAAAGATAAATTACATATAAAAATGATTAAAGTTACAATAGAAATACCTCCACATAAATACATCATAGACTTACACCACAATTGTGTTATAAGTCTATGAAATAGATCAACTGCAGAAATAATTTTTTTTTCAACTTCAAACCTTAATATTGTCTGATCTCACTCTAAAAAACACCTGATCGTGCCATTGACTTAGACTTAGTGCTAGGTTTCCCCTTTCCAGTTGCAACTTACAAAAGTTAAATTCTATGTCCTCCAATCTCTATCGTGACATTGCACATAGTCGGTGCCCGGAACCGAACTCAAAAATTTATGGGCCAGCATGTTCAGTGTTCAAGGGTTATTCCGGTATTCTTAGGGGCTTCTGATGTTAAGGCACTAGCTTTGGCCACTACTTGAATTACTTATATTATTCAGGCACCAAATAGCAGTATTTAGGCAAATTTTGCACATTGCGCATGTCCGACCGCTTATGCTGATGGGTGGTGACATGAGTGGGACTTGACTTTTACCTGGACACCTGAGAGTCAGCTCTAGTCAACTAGAAGTAACCTCCATTCTTTTTTCCACTCATGCCGCATTTCATCGTAGCTCCAAGGTTGCAAAAGTTTCAAAACTAAACAGAAACTTGTGACAATAAGGAATAAAAATTAATATCTCTCCTCTGAAACAACAAGAGCCCTGAATAGGTAGGTACCTTTAACAGGAAAGGAGAGAACTTTTTTCATTTCTGAACTGTACGTATCCTTGATGCTTTTGAGTTTCACTTTCAGAGTATTGACAGAATCAATTGCAGGAAATCCATCTTCATTTTCAAGGTCACCTATGAGGTCTCTCAGCGCTTCTTCCCTCAAGAATCGATCTTTGCGATCAGCGTGGCAGGTGTCCCACAGAATTGGGTACTTTTCCAAATGATCTAAAACTTTGAAGATGTCTGCTGTAGACCACCTTTTATCCATTGTTCAAGTCAATTTATAGAGAAAATATCAAATTAAGACCGTATTTAAACAGGTACCTAAATTGGGAAAATATTAAATTAAAATTAGAGTGTGATTCCAATACTTGATTCACATGGTGATATCTAGTCCACCGAAAACTTGGAATACGTTTACATCACATTCCTTAAGACCAGCGATGTTTAAATGTTAAAATATTTTGCAATCATTAGAATGATTTTAATACAAAAATATTCGAACTAATCACAAATTGAGACTGAATTTATTTGAAGTAAAGTAAATTGGATAGAAAGAAAAGAGGAAAAGTCAAACACATGCACATGCAGAACTGTCAAACTTTATTGTTTTGTTTACACACTGATGTCACAAGTAGAAATCAAAAAAAATTGTTCCATTTTGTCATCTTTTCATTTTTCGTGACCACCGTGGTAGTATCCTGCATTTTTTCTAAAATTATTTTTTGCTGTGTAAAATGATGTTCTCATTTTTTGACGACGTTTAGTTTCATTCAATGGCTAGAAGTTCGAGGTAGTTCGAGGATTTGGAGCTACAAGTTGAACGTACCTGCTTCCAGCCTTGAAAAAGTTAGGTTATGATTGTATTTACTTCCATTCACGTGTTCGATGTCCGAGGGCCGCAATCCGAGCCCTGCTGTGACATTAATGAGTGCTTCAGTCTCGAAATATATTAATTCATAGTAGTGCTGTTCATCGAACAAGAACCTAGTCTCCTTCTTTTTCCATCAAGATGAGGAAAAAAATTGATAATCGACTCAGAGTTTTAATTGAAAATGGTGTTGCTACAGGCCATCGAACTATGTTTGTGGTCGTTGGAGACAAAAGTCGTGATCAGGTCAGTATTAGTACAATCACATGATTTTTAGGTACTGCAAAGTCTTCTTTGGAGACACTCCTGTTTGGTTCATTTCATATCAATTCATGGCCAAAGAGCAATTAATTCTATCATCCCAAACTTCGTAGTTACGCACCCTTTGGGGGATCCCAAAGGTTTTTTCAAAGAATTGTGAACTCTTCTCCGGGAATCTATCAGCATCATCTTAGGTTCCAGCTACCCCTACAGTCAGGAAGTATCAAGTTTGGTGAGGGGTTTCTCAGGCGTAGGTACCATGTATTGAAGGAATCGTCAATGCATTTTCATTGCCAGGACAAGCATCAAAATGATGAATGCCGTCTCAAAATATTTGCTCTCATTTTATTTTTTTATAATGATCAAACCAGAGCTCCTGCTTGACACTTTTATCGAATGTACTTCACACAGAAAAGAAAAATCAGGGATGTTTCCAAGAAAAGATAATGTTTCTTTTTCCATTTTTTAATTTAAGTCCAACAGGAACTCGGCACCTTTGCATACTAAGCTATGTATTCTGGCAATCTCATGATCAATAAGCCTGCAATCCCATTGATCTGTTAAAGAAAATCAATTAAGGTAAGAACCCGTTCTGTCAGATTTCTGCAATTGTAAAATAAATTCCTAGTCAAGGAACATATCATTCAATTGTAAGTTTCTTTTCTCCTCTACTTGTCTGACTTTTTTTAAGTGAAAGCCTTTTTCTTTTCTATCCTCCTTTTATATCCTTTTTTTAAAAAACTGTCCTTCTTTTACATGTCTGGAAAAAGCTTGAATGCCGCTTTAAGAGTCGGAGAGTATTTAATCATCAAAACCTTTCCCACAGTTTTTCGGCACAACCCTCGAGAAAAATTAATCGCAAAAAATGTTTTGTTCTAGGTTGTCATCCTGCATCACATGCTCTCCAAAGCTGCAGTCAAAGCTAGACCAACTGTCCTCTGGTGTTACAAGAAGGAATTAGGGTTTACAAGGTAAGTAGTGTAGACCATGAGTTTTTTGCAGAACTTGTCTGTGTTTTTATGTTCCAACAGAGACATGTGAGGAAAAATTTTCTTCCTACTTTTCAAGAAATCCACACGGAGTGTTTCAGAATTTTCCTCATTTTTTCGGATTATTGAGAAAAAGTAAAAAAATATATGCTGTCTGAAATCAAAATATTTGTCAGCAAACTCAAACTATGAATAGAGACTTGAGTCCTTGGTTTCAAACAGCTAGAAGTAGGTACTTAGTACTACTCAGGCATTTAAAAATTTAGAACTATTCAGAAGAAAAAGTGCCAGAAATCTTCAAAAAATTGCTTAAGTTAACTCATTAGAATTTCCTAAAAAGAGTTTCGACATGCTAGGAAGTTTACAGAAAATTTGGAAAATTCCAAAACCTCGGCAAAAATTAGTAGGGTTTGAATGCAAGAAAAATTCTGAGTATGAAAACTGCAAGGATTCTGAAGGAATTCAATGCTAACTAAATTTCATTTTTTTACCCTGTAATATTTGTCATGACCTCTTGAGCCTAATTAGCTGCAAAACTTTTCTTTTTCTATTGTGCCGATTTCAAAAGAAGTAGGATTGAAGAGTGAACGTTTTAACTCAAGCAGTTTTAAAGACACTCTCCAATAGAAATTTTGCAATAGTAGACTATTCGGAATAATTTATTATTATTATATGACACAAGAAGATGCAACCTTCATTTTCAACACCCAATTCAGAATTTAATTTTTAACCTCGGTTTTTTTTTTTTTTTTGCATCCATTGTAACATTTGGTTTCTTCTTTTTCAGTCATAGAAAGAAGAGAATGAAGCATCTCCAGCACAAAATCAAAGCAGGAAAGCTGAACATTAATGAAGATGATCCATTTGAGCTATTTGTAGCATCAACAACCATCCGTTATTGCTACTACTCTGAAACCCAAAAAATATTGGGTAACACATATGGCATGTGCATCTTACAGGTATACCATCAAACTGTAACCAAAGCTCCAATTGAACTGACTCCTTCTTTCTCTCTAGAAGTTGCTGTTTTCAAGAATAAACAAAAGAGAAATTATTTTTATTGAGACAACAAATAAAAATCAAATTTTCGTCAAACTGAAAGTTGTTTTTTCAATGGGCACTTTAATCATTTACGGCGAAAAACCAAAACTTATTAACCTGAAATTGCCTGTAGCCTTGTAGTCTCTTTGAGGCTTGGTTCTTCTACCTTCATGATTCTGTGAGTCCTTGATATTCACAATTTGCTTCTTTTGTCAGCTTGCAGCGAAAATGAAATTGTTTAGTTAAGAAATACAATTAAGTAAGTAATAAAGCATGAGATGGATTATGAAAGTTTCAGTTAAACAAACAAGGAAAAAACCCAAAGTTCACTGTCAATTTGGGACAAAAGTGATTTAGTTTCAAATATGGGTTGTTATTTTTACCTACTCCACCTCCACACCAAATCTGAACCAGATCTGAAGTGGATAAGTGGACACCTGATAAATAGAGCTCATCACATGAATTTGTCTCAATTTTAATTTTCTTCTTTTTTTTTTGAAGGATTTTGAAGCACTGACGCCTAATTTACTTGCAAGGACAATAGAAACTGTGGAAGGTGGTGGACTAATTGTGTTACTACTAAGATCCCTAAGTAGTTTGAGGCAACTGTACACAATGAGTATGGATGTCCACGAGAGATATCGGACAGAAGCTCACACAGATGTAGTGGCTCGTTTTAATGAAAGGTAGTCCAAATTATTTTATTTCCCAAGTTACTTGTCTTCAGTTTCGTTGAAGTTCCTCATTTTAATGGTCTCTATCCCTGAATTCCTGAAAGATGAGATACTATTTTCATATTCCTTACAAAACAAAAAGTAATATGGGTGCAAAATGAACCCCCTCTCACAGCATGCTTGTAAAATGACGTATTTGTGCTACCTCAATGAGGAAACCATGTTCACATTTTACATTGGAAAGTGCCGATGTGTTATTATTTGTAGTATTTGTCCCTGACAGCAGCCCAATATTTCATGCCACTGTAGTCGGAGGCTCTTTGACTCGATCAGACAAGGCTATTGCCACTTATGATTCCTTAAAAATCTAGTGTCAGAATTTTTGTATTGCATTGCTTACTCCTAAAATCTTCTGGAACCCTCCCTCTGCTCCTCTGATTTAACATTGAGAGAGAAACAGAAATGATTTAGTACAATTCTATTGGAATAAAAAATCATAGCTGTTTTGGGTCCAAAAACCCACATGGGCCTTCCACTTTCTTGTCAGATTTCACCCAAGCTTTTTACTACAATTGGGTTCTGGTTGGATCCTAATATTTCTGAAGAATATTATAGAATCAAAGTTGGTAGGTATCTGAGCTAAACTTAAGCTCTACAAATGTAGTCCTCCAGTTAAAGTGATATCTAAGCAATTTTTAAACTACGAGGGGGGACCCAAAAAAAACCGGAATTTCGCTGTAACTTGGCAACAAGGAAAATATTCGGGTTCCACCGCTAGGAGGTGTAACTAGGAGCTATGAAGAGTCACTAGGCCAAATTTCAACATCGTAGCACATTTTCTTTCCATTTTGGCGAGACTTGGCTTCAGGGGTGTTTGGCGACTTCGTAGTTTTTTAAGATAGGTGATTTTCATAGGCTCTGTGCGGCTAAACTCTGTCAATTTTTGAAGTGAATGTTGCAGAGAACATAATTTACCTATAACATAAGTGAACAAATGTTTTTCATCGTTTTAAAGTGTGATTTATTGTTCGAACGTAGGCTGAACGCCAAGCGGTCGTCACCGGCTAGAGCGCAAAATAGGGGATCAATTCGGCAACAACGCGTTTTATGCCGAAATTTTTCACAGCAATGTTCTGAATATTTTTGTATTACATCCAAGTGATATCTGCTAGTAGACGAAACGATTTTTAACCATGTTCATTTACAAAAACGCGATTTATTTCATGTTTACAGCGGTTCTAGCCGATGGCGATGGCGGTTTAGAGCCATACAGGGGTTTCGGGCGATACAGACCATTTTAAAACTGAAAAACCGTAATTACACTGAACTTTTTGATAAGGCTTGTCCTTTGGAAGCAGCACTTTAAAAGGTTAACAGAGAAAACCGTATTTTTATCGAGCAAGAGAGAAAAATTTGAGCTCTAAGTGTTGTTACTGAAATTGACTCATCTTAAAAAACTACGAAGTCGCCAAACACCCCTGAAGCCAAGTCTCGCCAAAATGGAAAGAAAATGTGCTACGATGTTGAAATTTGGCATAGTGACTCTTCATAGCTCCTAGTTACACCTCCTAGCGGTGGAACCCGAATATTTTCCATTTTTGCCAAGTTACAGCGAAATTCCGGTTTTTTTTGGGTCCCCCCTCGTATTAGCCATATCATTTTTGCATGTAAATATTTATGTTCGGGTGAAATCATGCGTAAATATTTTCTCGTAAGGCGTGTGAGGTACACTGAAAAAAACTTGAAAATATACGGCAACAATAGATCTTAAGGAATAATACGAAATAAATTGAAAAAACTAAAAAAAAAAAAAAAAAAAAA